TCCCTAACACAAGGAACTAGGGTTCTTCATACCCAAGTGAGAGAAAGGTTCTACTCCATAGAGAGAGAAAGGAAAACAGAAATCAGAGTAGTCATACTCATAAAGATGAGGAAAATCTGCTTTGGGATGTCAATCTTCACTCCTAGGGACGCAATCTGGGCTTCAATGATGAGAAATCCACTCCAAAATAGCTCCTAGGGTTTGGTCTTCGCTCTTTCTCTCTCTAAAACTCTGTTTTTGCTCTAGAAAATCGAATAGTTCTTCCTTGGCTCGAATCTGCCTCCAAAAACCCGACTCTGGGCGAATTACGGGCAGAATTACGGCCGTAATCACGTCCTGCCCGTAATTCGCACCAAAACGCACGTTTCACTTAAGCTGCAGGAGGAGGAGATACGCCCGTAATTTCCCAATTACCGCCAGTAATTTGGGAATTACGGTCGTAATTCTTGGGGGTCTTGCCCGTAATTTTATCACCGAGAGGAAATTCTGGGGAGAAGGCTCGGCCATTAAGTTACGGGCATGCCCTGGCCAATTACGGTCGTAATTTGGCAGGGGCTGCCCGTAATTCTGTCTGTGATTCGCCATCTGACCTCCAAATGACCCGAAACTTGCGCCTATGCACCTCCTTACTTGCTAGGACCTGAAATACGACAAAACAACACAACCTAGCGTAAAATAGGCCAACGAACAATCAATTTGAGCCAAAATGGGCAGGAAACCAGAGTGAAAACACGTGCAAATACGATGCTATCAGCTGGCAATCGGTTTATAAGCCGATATTGACAAAACACGCGAGGAAAGTGGAAATTAATTAACACGAAATGAATTGTACATATATAATATAATTTAAGCCAATTTACCTATAAACTACATCCATATTTAAATAAAATAGTACATTACAAACAAAATGATAACTCATCATATTCACATGCAACATTTAAAGTCAACGTCAAAAGGTTTCTACTTAAATTAACAAATAACATCAAAATTAATATGTTCATATTTGAATGCAACAAATTCCTTTCATTTTGTTAGTTAATTCAATCAAAACAACACCATTTCGTTTAGCGAACGAAAATTGATCACTCTGATCGAACCACTCTTTTTTCAATTTTGACCCTTTTATTTGTTTTGACTAACGCATCACACCAGTAGTCTTTAAGGATGACAATGGATCGGACTTGGGTAGTTGCGATAAATCCATCCCCATCTCCATTTTCAATTCGTAAACCATACCCTCTCCATCTTCGTATTGGTTTAAGTTTCTTATCCCCATCCCTATTCCCATAGTTTTCTAATACTAGTGGATGATACCCTCCACGCAAATCAAAAGGTATCGGATACTATGCTAACCCCTAAAGGGGTAGTGGTTTTTGACACCCTCCTCTTGATTGGTCACTTTTCCATTTAAGCTTTTTACTTTATTTATTGTAATCTTGTAAATTGGGAAAGCCTTAATTGTGATAATAATTATGAATGGGGAAGGAGAAAAACGTTGGTAATTATGAATGGGGAAGGATCTGGGGAAAAACGAAATCACCCCCATTAATTACATAATTAATTTCTCTCACTGGTACATTAATTACACGTACCACTCCACTGGTACACGTACCACTCCACTGGTACACGTACCAGTGGAGTGGTACGTGTACCAGTGGAGTGGTACGTGTAACCATATGTCCTGTTTAGGCTTAAAAAATTGTGAAGACTTTATGTTTATTCACATTCGAAGGATAATTTATTGCTTTTGGCATTGTTGTTGGCATTTCCCTAATTTTGCAACCCATTTTGGAACACAGTGTTTGGCTACTAATGGAAAGTTCCTATTTTTTCCCTATTATTGTTTATCATTGTTATGAAAAATATCATTGCACTGGTATTGTTCTCACTCTAACCTACCTTGTGGATTGCTCGCACCAGTGGAGTGGTACGTGTACCAGTGGAGTGGTACGTGTACCAGTGGAGTGGTACGTGTACCAGTGGAGTGGTACGTGTAATTAATGTACCAGTGAGAGAAATTAATTATGTAATTAATGGGGGTGATTTCGTTTTTCCCCAGATTCTTTCTCTTTTCCAATGTGGTGAGAGACCCCAAATTACAAGATTAAAAAAAATAAAAAATCAGTTTAATTAATACTTGCCAATGATTGGAAATAAAATTGGCCAATCATAAAGGGGGTGTCAAAAATCACTACCCCTTTAGGGGTAGTCACGCTAACTGATCCCAAATCAAAACCCCATTCTACTTATTGATGCAATTAAGTGGAAGACACGTATGATTTAGAGGTAGAATGTTGAACAAAGATTGTATATCATAAATGAACTACAAAAAATATGAGAAACGTAACAAAACTAAACTTTAAGTTCTTAGGGGAAATTAGGGAAATTAGATGGACTATATGTATTGAGTCTATTGACAGAATTGAAAAAGCGAAATGAAGGTTTTTAACTGTATATTATTTTAAATATTTTAGTACAAAATGAAAGATGGAGAGATCAAATGACATGTAATTGTGTGTTAATAGTATATGAATTATAGGGTTAAAGACACATTTGGTCACTGAGATTACAAAATCGGGACATGTTTAGTCACTAGAAAAAGTTAATATCAAATTTGGTCACTACAATTACTAAAATAGGTCATATTGAGTCACTCTCCGTTAGTCTCCGTCCAACTCCGTTAGTGGAGTCCGTTAAGTGCTGACGTGGCTAACGGATGCGCCTAGTCAGCATCGTTTTGACCAAAAATCATCATACCCGACCCGCCACGTCAGTTTCACCCGCCATGTCATACACCAACCCAACCATTAACCCAACCCGACCCAAAACCAAACTCTAAACTTTTGTCGTTCGTTCTCCACCTGCAAATCTTTCATCGTTCCCACAAAAACCCCCAAAAACACCAAGAAACCCCAAGAATCCAAATCAACTCGCCGCCACAATGTACCGAGTCGCGAAAGCGTCGGAGTACCTGGCGATCACCGGCGTCGGGATCAAGGACATCAAGCTCGCCAAGAAGTCATGGATCTTCCCCGGCCAATCCTGCACCAAGTTCGACATCTCCCCGGTCAACTACACCTTCGAGGTCCAGGCCATGTCCGCCAAGAAGCTCCCCTTCATCCTCCCCGCCGTCTTCACGATCGGCCCGCGCTACGACGACGACGACGACGCCCTGCTCAAGTATGCGAAGCTGATCTGCCCCCACGACGGGCTCACGAAGCAGAACGCGGCCAAGATCGACGCCGAGACTAAGATTATTGCGATTCAGAGGGAGGGGGAAGGTAAGAAGGAGGAGATCAATGTGAAGGCCAAGGTCAAGATCTACGAGAATCTGAGGGAGGCAGAGGTCGCCGAGGCGAACGCCGAGTTGGCTCAGAAGAAGGCCGGTTGGACTCAGGCTTCCCGAGTCGCGGAGGTCGAATTGGAGAAGGCGGTGGCGCTCCGCGACGCCGAGCTGCAGAGGGAAGTCGAGCGGATGAACGCCCTCGCCACTACTGAAAAGCTCAAGGCCGAGCTCCTCACCAAAGCCAGCGTCGAGTACGACACCAAGGTATACAATCTCAATTGGGCGAAACAATTTCTAATTTCAAATCTAGGTTTTGGTGATTTTCATCTGGAAATTGATTGGTTGATGAATGCTATTGATTGATTGAAGATTGTGGGTGAGAATTAATCGATTGATGATTCTGTGCGTTGTTTCAAGGTACAAGAGGCGAATTGGGACCTGTACAACAAGCAGAAGGCGGCGGAGGGAGTGCTGTACGGGAGAGAGAAGGAGGCGGAGGCGCAGATGGCGGCGGCGAAGGCGGCTTTCTTCGCGCGGCAGCAGGCGGCGGACGCGGAGCTGTACGGGAAGCAGAAGGAGGCGGAAGGGATGATGGCGCTGGCCAAGGCGCAGGGGTTTTACTTGAAGACTCTGCTGGAGGCGGTGGGAGGGGATTATGGTGCGTTGAGGGATTACCTGATGATCAACGGCGGCATGTTTTAGCAGCTGGCGAAGATCAATGCGGACGCCGTCCGCGGGCTGCAGCCGAAGCTGAGCATCTGGACCGGCGGGGATGCCGCCGGCGGCGGCGGCGGGAATGGGGATGGGCTTGGCGGTGGGGCGATGAAGGAGATTGCCGGGGTGTATTAATGGTTGGGTTGGTGTATGACATGGCGGTGAAACTGACGTGGCGGGTCGGGTATGATGATTTTTGGTCAAAACGATGCTGACTAGGCGCATCCGTTAGCCACGTCAGCACTTAACGGACTCCACTAACGGAGTTGGACGGAGACTAACGGAGAGTGACTCAATATGACCTATTTTAGTAATTGTAGTGACCAAATTTGATATTAACTTTTTCTAGTGACTAAACATGTCCCGATTTTGTAATCTCAGTGACCAAATGTGTCTTTAACCCATGAATTATATGTAGATGATTGTGGGTATGAAGCATAGACACCCAAATTTATTCCCACCACTTTTTTTGTATTACACATACTAGTTCCATCATCGAGTCAATGCGGAAAATCCCTTTATTGACTGAGTCGAATATCCACCATCGTGAATACAATTGCCATTCATAATAGTCTTAACACCAAAAATTGAAATACAGTACCGTACCAGCAGTTCGACCAGAAAAATCTCTTACTGGATCGATAGGCGATATTTAATAGTATGAAACGGTTGAACCACGATTTTAACATAAAATATCTTATCGCTAAATTTTTCAGTACAACTACAACCTACAATACATTATTTCAATCTTTGGCTTAACACCCAATTTTTTCCCCCAATACTGGTTGAATCTTATTGTGCAAGTCCACATACAAATGGTTTGACAAGTGACAAACCATGTTCGCAAGTGGCAACTGAACCCGCAACCTCTCCTTATTCCTTAACCAGAACGAGCCATCCATTCCATCCCTCTCCGGCTTTCCTCTCCATTTCCCCGTTTCTCTGCTCCGCCGCCGTACAAGTATCCACAGACCGAGGCGGAGGAGGAAAAAGTAGAGAGATGGTGTCGCCTTCGCAAAAGAAGAATCTCAGAGATTCTCTCTTGTCCACCAAACTCAAGAAGCTCACCGTTAACCCGCCGGATTCCGCCTCCGACTTCGACTTCTCTGAAGTTTTCGGTCCCGTCACACCTCACCTCGACCCGCTTCTTCCGGATCCGGATCCAGACACCGCCTCTTCCTCCGCCTCAACCTCCTCGTCTTCTTCGTCTTCCGCACGCGCCGCCGCAGCAGCGTTGGACCCGCTCGTCATCCACAACCGGTCCCACTCCTTCGTGGGCCCCTCCCCTCGCTACACCCTCTCCGTCCCTCTCCCCTTCAACAAAATCCAAGAGGAAGACGACGACGAGGACGAGGACGAGGGCGAAGATCCCGCCGTTGAGCTAGTTGAATCTCCAATTGCCGCCGTCGGAGATGGCGAATTCGAGAGGAAGGGGGAAGGAGAAGAGGAGGGAAGAAATTGTGAGGATGGGAGCATCAGCGGGAGGATTGGGCCTAGTGATTTTGAGATTCTGAGAATGGTAGGACAGGGAGCGTTTGGGAAAGTGTTTCTGGTGAAGAAGAAGAAGAAGAAGACGACAGCGAAGAGCAATGGTGATGGCGATAGCGATGGGATTTATGCTATGAAAGTGATGAAGAAGGACAACATTATAAAGAAGAATCATGTGGATTACATGAGAGCAGAGAGGGATATTCTAACTAAAGTCGTCCATCCTTTCATCGTCCAGCTTCGTTACTCTTTCCAGACCAAAACCAAGCTTTATCTCATCCTGGATTTCATTAATGGAGGCCATCTCTTCTTCCACCTCTATCGTCAGAGGATCTTCAGGTAAACTTTCTGTCGAAATTAGTTGTGTAGTTACTAGTTAGCATCCCCATGTTTTGAAATGATTGCTTAGGCTTTTTTGCTCTGTGGATGTGTTTGAGCGCAGCGAGGATCAAGCCAGGCTCTATGCTGCTGAGATTGTGTCTGCTGTTTCACATCTCCATGATTGCGGGATTGTGCATCGTGATCTTAAGCCTGAAAACATTCTCATGGATTCTGACGGACATGTAAACTTGCATTTGCCTCTTGTCATCTCAATTCTTCTTGCTTATTCACCAGCATTCGATTTCGCATTTATGGGATTGTTTGTGATATTGCAGGTTATGCTGACTGATTTTGGACTTGCAAAGGAAATTGACGAGTCAAGTCGGTCAAACTCGATGTGTGGAACCACCGAATACATGGCTCCTGAAATTTTACTATCTAAAGGCCACAATAAAGATGCAGATTGGTGGAGTGCTGGAATCCTCTTGTATGAAATGCTATCAGGACAGGTAATGCGGCGTTCGTTGTACCATTTCATAGAGGAAGATATGCCTTTGGCTATTGATTCTGGAAAATGGAAATGACTTTTGGGTCACATGTGCTTTTGTTTTACAGCCTCCATACACACACCAGAATAGGAAGAAGCTCCAGGAAAAGATCATTAAGGAGAAGTTCAAGCTTCCACCTTTTGTAAGCACTGAGGGTCATTCTCTGCTCAAAGGGGTAAGTATGTGTTGAAAATAGAATTAATCTCTCGTGCATCAGAGTTTTCCTGGATTAATGAACGCGTGGTCTTTTGCTTTTTTCTGCAGTTGCTGCAAAAGGATCCTTCGAAAAGGCTAGGGAGTGGACCAAGGGGAGGGGATGAGATTAAACATCACAAATGGTTTCAGTCGATCAACTGGAAAAAGTTGGAGGCGAGAGAGCTGCAGCCCAAGTTCAAACCTGATGTGATTGGAAAAGCCTGCATAGCCAATTTCGACAAGTGCTGGACAACCATGCCTCCAGATGACTCACCAGCTTCCACCCCAACTGCCGGGGAACATTTCCAAGGCTACACTTACGTTGCACCTAACCCTTGGCTTTCATCAGTTTGAAGTAAGAGGGTACCAGGCAGAAGTACTTTCATAGCCTGATCACCACATAATGATTCTGTGAGTGCAACTTTATTTTGTTAAAGCTAATATGACATTTGCATGTCACATTCTTGATATGTTTGGCCTGAACAAACATTTAAGAGCCTCGCAGACTTATGAGTAGCGTAAATTACTGCGACGTTAGGTGTATAAATAGCATCTTCCAGAAAACATGAGTACTTCAAGTTAGGAAGAACCAGGCTTCAAATAGAGAACTACTCCTATCCCAAGTTATTTGGAAGGAAAAAAAAAACCTAGTTGGCATGACAGAAAACCTATAGACTATAGCACCCCCAAATAAATAGGGTTTGCTTACAAATTACCGTAGGTGGTACCTTGTGCCCAGAGCTGTCAAAGACACTTGCTTATATCTTTTTGGTGTGAAGTCTTGTGGGCTAGACGTTGATAGAAGTTTGATATATATTTGTGTAACTAGAGCCATTTTTGTTGGACACTTGAAACTGTGAGGATTTGTGGTGTTTGAAAGGATTGGAATTTGTTGGAACTTTCTCTAGCGGTTGGGTGTAAAGAACGTAAGGGAATTATCAATTATATGAAGTTTGGGCGCTATGCAACAATAAATTCTTTGCTAAAATAACAATGTCCTATCAAACGAACCAGTGAGATTAAGGCACTATCATTGAGAAGTTTATGGTCCTCTCTTTTCATCTCCCTTATCTTCATTGTGTGGCCATCACTATAAGATAGGCAATGATTCTCAACATGGATGCTTTCTTTGTTTAGTCAGAGATACTATTCACTTTGTTCTCCCTAGTAAGCTAGAGTGCATAAAGCATGATTCAGTGTTCCTATGGAGATTTTTATTATTTGGAAGCATTTATCCAAACTATAGAAAAATACTCAATGTGGCCTACGAATGGCTTTCTGTGTGATAGAGAATTCTATCCAGAACTTTCACTTGAAGGTGATACAACGGGAAAAGATGAAGGGAAAATAAAGAAAAGTTCTTAGAAAGTAGAAAAGTTAGCAGTGGTGAAGAATCTTGTTCCTCCCTTGAGTTCAAGGCAAGCAAACACGATTTGATGCTCTCCTTGAATACTAAATACCCTCTGCTAACTGCACTTAGATTATGTGGCACATGTTTAGCCTACTAACAAAGCCTTCATGTAAGCAACACATTGAAATCTGAATTGCTGGATCTAACCTTACTGTGAAATCTACTATTACTAGACTGTAGCTTGCTGATAAATGGACAAATAGAACAGTGTTGATTTTAAATAGAGTCTGTGATCAGCTATATGTGTAGGCAGCACAGATTCTTCATATGTCTCGCTGTTAAGTTTTGGCTTGGCTCCTGTCTAGATACTCTCTTATTGGTCCCACTCATTATCTCTCAGAACAAGAAAGGAATCCACCAAGTTTGTAGAATCTTGAAAAAACTAAAGCTGATATGTTATTATTTTCGCCACATGCATACTTCAGAATCAAGTTTTGACAGGTGCTACTTCTATATAAACATACTCATCAGGTTTTCTAACCCCCAACTCATCTTCCTTTGTTGTAGAGAGAAATGGGCAGCACTGGCAAGAGCGGCAGCAACTCCTTGTGCGAGAAGTCGATGAAGGTAGTGGTGAATATCATGAGGCTGTCTTCGCTCTCTATTGCTAAGATGTCTCTTGGAACGACAACTACCTCTCCAGTCGTCAACCGGAACCTTGCACCCATCACAGAATCCGTGATGGGTACCAAGGAACCGTTGCTGCCTCCTCAGACACCAGCAGGGACCCGAAGGTCACAGGAACCATGGTCGAAGCCGAATTCGTACCTCATGGAGCCAGCAGGCCGAGGGAAGGGTGCTGCTGGCACTACTGCTTCATTCGTGGTTCACGAAGAGGGCAAGGGCAGCGTTATAGATGGGAGAGCTTCCGACTACATAAGGAAGGTGCACGAGAAGAACCGAAATGACGCGTCGAAACTCACTCCATTGATTCTGCCTCCTCCCCCATCAACAACTATAAGGTCGTGAAGAAGTGGATTCTGGGTGATATGCGTGTTTCAGGTTTCTAGCCTTCTTCGTTTGCAGCAGCTACCGATATATAAGAAGAACCTTAGAAGGGTTATTTTCAGGTTTCAGTACTCCGAGATATGGACGTATTTTGATTTTCTGTTTTTATCATTATGCTTTCTTTTCTATGCATATTTAACATATGGGAAAGAGAGGCCAATCTGAAACATCAAGCTCAAGTCTCAATCACAAATGATATGATAAGAAGAGATGGACATCCCATTATTGATCCTTTATCCTTTTCTCTCATTACACGTTCCAAATGTCAATGCTATAGCTCATCAAATTTTGCAGGATATGGCTGTGCTGCAGATTGCAGTTGCAGCATCTCGAAAAAATGACAAAGCGGGCGTTCAATAATCTCTCATCATTCACCATGAGGTTTTGGAGTCTGGATTTGCAGAAGACTTGTAGGAAAGAATAAAGATATAGTAATGTGATTTTAGGCTCTAAAATGAACTCTAATTAGAAATGAAATTCACAAATACAGGTGGGTCTTTTTTCATTGATCAAGTTTGTCAGTCTTTAATGATGATCATTTTATTTTTTGACATGGTAAAATAAGAAAGTCATAAAAAACATCAAATGTTGACAGTGGAATTTGAACCCACGCCCTTTCGGACCAGAACCTTAATCTGGCGCCTTAGACCAACTCGGCCATATCAACATTGATGTTAGAATATTTGATCTATATATATATATATATATATATATTACCATTTTCATATATTGTTAAACATAATTATTTGATTGATGAATCACTGTTGTCCTTGCGGGAGATGGATTGAGGAGGGGTTAGTCTAACATGTGAAAGGAAAAATCATCCAAATCCTAAAATTTGCGTCACATAGAAAGACATTTGGAACGCCAAATAAAAAGCTCGATTCGACGAATTGGAGAAGGAAGCAACACATGGCAGAAAAAGGTTCATTTACGAGAGAGGAGGCGAGAAGTTCAGATCCTGGGCATAGGGATAGAATGAGATCGACTGATAGAAGTGATTCCCTTCTCATTCAATCAAACTACTTCCTCATTTTTTAATTTATAAATTGTTTTCCCTTTTTCATAAAAAAAGAGAATGTTTATTTTTTCCTCCGCAAATAACATGTAATAGTATATAATTTGCTCATATAAATATTACCTAATATGACTCGTAATTTTTGAAAAATAAATAAATATATTGAGATACTCGTCCTGTTATATTATTACTTAGCCCTTATAAAACTTATGTTTATCCTCTTGCTTCGATAATGGGTTGTATCGCGGTTAAAGAATTAAGTTAGTTAAACAAACAGGACTTAATTTACTTGGCAATTGAAACAGTGATGTCAACTTAGTCAAAAGCCATGGCCCAGTTAGGCGGCCATTGCAATGCTTTAGTTAGGAAAGAACAGCCAACAAACTAAACTAATGCCGATTAGTTATTTCACCACATCCACCAAATTGTCAATTTTTTTCAGTTCCAATCCCATAAAAAAGTATTGCACATTGCCGGTTACAGATGTGGAACCGCTTAACTAACTTCCTCCTACACTTCAATATAAATTGCCCCTCTTCCAAATCTCCTCCCTTATCTCAAAATTTTGTTGAAGAATCAGTCAAATGATATGAAGCAATTGCGGGTATCCTTCTCCTTCCCCTTCTCCACTCTTCACACGGCCAGCGTCGTCGCTCCAGCCGTCGTGAAAGTAGTCCTTTCCGACGGTACGGTCCACGAGTCTGATGACTCGTCGACCGTGGCCGAGCTGATGCTGGAGCACCAACGAGAGGTGGTGGTGGAATTCGACTCCGAGATGACGATCTCCACCACCGTCTCCACGGGTCGAAGCCATAGACGCCTTGTCCCGCTTCCAGCTGATAGGAAGTTGGAAGCAGGAAAAGTGTACATGATGCTTCCCCTGAAGCGGGGGAAGTCACTTTCTCTAACTTCAGAGGAAGCGCGCCACGTCCTTCTGAACGCGAGCACGCTTCTGAAGCAATCTTCTTCTTCACCGTACAAGTTCGTGCCTCTGTTTGCACGGGCTTGTACGGCTGGCTCCATTGGAGGACACCGCGAGGGGAACTTCGTCAAGTTGGTGAAGAAGGAAACGAGTTGTGACGAGCAAGTGATGAAGGTTGTGAAGAGGACGGATTGTAAGCGTCTCGTGTCGTTTTTCGAGGAGGAGGATGAGGAGGAGGAGGATGAAGAGAACAAGGTGCCGGAGTATTTGAGCCGGCAGTTGTCCGGTAAAGGGTGGAAGCCTACTCTGGATACGATTAAGGAGAAGAAGATCGAGCAGCAGAAGCTCCCGCATTGGTTGTTTTGAACTTTTGCCTTTGCTAGAAAATTTGGGTGTAACATGAAAAATGTAACTGTTGGAGCAAAATTTGTGACAAATTTTTTTACTTTCATATAGGTGGGATATTGATAAGTTGTCTTTTCTTAATTTGTCTCTCTTGGTATTCTTCAATGTTACTTTCTACCTCTCCTTTTAACTTTAGTTGTTTGTAATGTACTCATGTATGTTATTTTTTACGCGTGTCGATTACGGTTAGTTTAAATAGTGGCGTTGTCGAGATTTTGTTTAAATGAGTATGTTGTAAAATATATATAAAGTAAACTTGATAACTTTTTTACAATACGACATATTTTCATATTCTAAGAATGTCTAAAATAGTAAAATGCATTCTTTTCCAAACTCTAAAGGGTGTCACCTCAGCATATTCATGAAAAAAATCATTGTTCATTCAATTTCGAAGTGTGTTCTTCACATGTTTCATTATGACAAATGATCTTTCAAAACTTATAGCGATTGTTGGTAGCAACAACGCTAATTTCATAAGTTAATACATACACCCGTGAAACGTAATGACTCAGAGCTATAACATCTTGCTTTGTTCTTCATTCAAAACTAATCGAGTTTCATAATGTAGTGGTACAGGAATTAGTATTGCAGCATAGGATTTAAAGCTGGAAAAACAAATGTCAAACCCATAAGGGTAATCTGTGCCTTGCAAACCATACCTTTCTATAAACAAATAGAAGATTTGTTAACAATGTGTTAATTGGTGGATTTGTGATCATGATTCCCCACCTGAAAATCCTACACTCCCAACCAACGCTACAGTTCCCTCTTTTATGAATCCAAGTATTCAACCATCATGGCATTTTATATATAACAAAAACAGACTGATCTCTCAATTATACAAGTATTTTACAATCAAGATCTCCAATAATTTTCTCTCTAAATATATCTCTCAATTTCAAAATTTTTATAAACAAGTCCTTCCATTAGTTTGGTGTTACTTCATTGTTAAATTGGATGTCAAATGATGAAAATACCCCTCCCTTCTACTAAAACTTTCTTTTTTAATAAGTACACCTCAAGTTAAGATTTTTTTTCTAAAACAAGTCCCTCGGCTTCATTTTTTCTAACCAAGTCCTCTCCATTAGCCTGTTTTTAGTTCACTTCAACATAGATTTAAAATGATAAAACTATCCATCCCGTTCAATTATACAACTAAGTAACTGAATTTTCAAGCTTCATGCCGGCAATGAAATCCATACGTACGATTTTGGAACTAAAAGTTGCTTAAATGAAACGTTTCTAAATCATTACGAATCATGTCGATAACATAGTTGAAGAGAGTTACAAAATCAAAACCAAGGGGTATGTTGAGGAAACAAATTAAAGTTCAAGGACTCGATTAGAAAAAAATTTCCACGAAAAGCAGGGGATAGTTTCCTTATCTCGTATCCACTTTAATAGTGGAGTAACAACAAACTAAAATGGAGGACAATGGTTAGGGGGTGGAAAATGAGGTCAAGGAACATGTTTAGGGAAGAGTATTTGTTGGAAACCTTGGTTGGGAAATATTCAAAGTTGAGATACCGGTTTCTTCATTAATTCTCAAAGAAAAATAATATCAAAAAATATTTCACCTCCTTATTACAAGATTACCACAATCAAAGGTGATTGAGATAGCATTTCACACTGTACACCTTATAGAGTTTGAAGGTTTGCATTTGATATGTTCTGAATGCGGACGATATGGCCATACCAAGAGAGGATGCCCAAAAATGCAAGCGCAACAAACACCACATGAACGACGTGAGGAGACGCCTGACACAGGGATGGATAACGAGGAGCCGGTGTATGGAGATTAAATGGTGGCTCGGCCAAGAAATAGAAAAGGTGCGGGAAGAAAACAAGCTCAATCGCACCCATCGCTTGGAGGGGGGGAAGTGAGTAAGCAACCTCAAACGGCGGAAGTGGAAGCTGGCCTGCATGGGTCGAGATTTCGTGAGTTGGAAATTATGGAAGAGGAAACGAAGGAGGGAGTGGATGAGGAAATTATTATGGAGGAACCGGGGGAAAAGATCATGGATGTTGAGACACAAAGTGGGACTGTTCTTGAAGAACAAAGCATGAGGAACAAAGGGACAAGGGATAATGAACCAGCTGTTATACCGCCTAAGTCCCCAGTGCAAAGCTCCATGGTGGGCAGCCCGGGCAAGCAAGTACAGGAGACGGAGTTGAAACAATATTCATGTACCAAACATGATAAAGTGGAAGAGGGAGCTGGGAATCACCCCAAAGGCAAGACAAACCAGCCCAGATCGCAAAGCAGGGATATCCATGTCAAGCCAAGCATGGCAGATCCAGGTGATTTGCGTATCAAGGAGGGTGGGAGACAAGGAACTAAGAAACAAGGGTCGAAAGTACAGTCAGTGACATTCAGTGTAAAACCTCAAGCTAATGGTGCGGGGAACCCATCCCCTTCAGTCCATAAATGAGAATCTTGAGTTATAATTGTCGCGGGTTGGGGAGCAAGCGGGCAGTTAAATTGCTCAAGTCGCTTTTGCGACTTGTTTCCCCACAAATTGTCTTCTTGATGGAGACAAAACAAACGTGCGATGAGAATGAGGTAGTGAGGAAAGAATTGGAGTTTGCTGGTGGAAGTAGCTTTCCGACGGATGTGTCACGAAATGGGAGGGCGGGAGGTTTAAGTTTGTGGTGGAAGGAAGAAGTTAATCTTATCCCGAGTAATGTGACAGCTAATTACATCGACGTGATGATTGACGAGCAGGGGTGTGAACCGTGGCGCTTAACTGGTATTTACGGATGGCCGGAAAGCTCGGGCAAACATCGTACTTGGGAGCTCATCAGACAGCTAGGTAACCAATCAAGTGCACCCTGGCTGTGTGGTGGTGATTTCAACCAAATTCTTTCGTATACTGAGAAGAGTGGAGGACGCAATGATCAGGGGAATAATATGATCAATTTTGCGGAGTGTCTTATAGATGTGGATCTTCATGACCTCGGGTTCAGAGGCTATAACTTCACCTGGGAAAATCGTCGGGGAGAAGGAGCTTTTATAGAGGAAAGGTTAGACAGATTCGTGGGTTCGGAGAGTTGGAAAAGTAATTTTGCTAGCTTCAGAGTAACACACTTGGACCGCACAAGATCGGATCATAGACCTATAATCTGTGACACGAGAGGGGAAGAAGATGAGGATCCGAGGTGGGGGTGGTCTTTTCGGTTCGAACCGTTATGGGTAAAGCATAGCGATTGTGCAGAAGTGGTAAAGGAAGCATGGCAAGCGCAATCTCCAAACATCCGGGATAAAATCGAGGCTTGTCGCTCGAAGTTGGAGGAGTGGAGTAGGGGAACTTTCCCATGTTTTGCTGACCAGAAAAAGAAGATTCGCAAAGCACTAAGGGCATTGGAGAGAAGAGAGAAAACGGATTTGGTGCTCAATCAGATTCGACAGTTAGATGGGGAGTTGGCTGAAGTCGAAGCTAATGAGGAAATGTATTGGCAACAGAGGTCGAGGGCTGATTGGTTGAAGGAGGGCGACCAGAATACGAACTTTTTTCACAAGAAAGCTTCAGCTAGGCGTAGAAGAAATATGATTCGGAAACTTAAGGATGAGAGTGGAGAATGGTTTGTGGGAACAGACAGAGTTATGCAGTGTTTTCGGAACTACTATTCAAGGTTGTTTGTGGCGGATGCTCCACCGAACCAAACCCCTGTCTTGGATGCTGTAAAAAAGGCGATTTCGAGGGAGGATAATGAGATGTTGATGAAATCTGTTGAGAGAGAAGAAGTGGTGCGAGCCCTTAAACAGATGGGAAAGCGCAAAGCCCCAGGTCCGGATGGGCTCTCTGTGATGTTTTATCGACAGTATTGGGAGATTGTAGGGGATGACGTGGTTTTCACTGTTAAACAGATTATTGAGGAAGGAGTAATGCCTGAAGAAGTAAACCATACGGTCATTGCGTTGATACCAAAGGTTAAGGAGCCGAGTATGCCACAGGAGTTTCGCCCTATTTCCCTGTGCAATGTGATCTACAAGCTAGTCTCGAAAGTTTTGGCGAACCGAATGAAACTGTTACTTAATAAAGTCATTTCTATGGCTCAGTCAGCCTTTGTACCGGGGCGTTGTATTACGGACAACATTATGGCGGCATTCGAGTGCTTTCATACGATGAGTAAGAAAACTAAAGGGAAAACTGGATATTTAGCGGCCAAGATTGATATGGCCAAAGCCTACGACAGGGTGGAGTGGCATTTTTTGGAGGGGGTAATGAGACGGATGGGGTTTGATGAAAGGTGGATCAGGATGGTTATGGTGTGTGTGACGACGGTCTCATATTCTGTTCTTGTTAACGGGCACAAATCAGAAACCTTTGCACCAGGGAGGGGAATCAGGCAAGGGGATCCGTTATCACCGTACCTCTTTCTACTGTGTGCGGAGGGGTTGTCGGCATATACATCCCAAGCAATTCAACAGAGACGGCTACATGGTTTTAAACCAGCTCAGGGAGCCCCCATTATATCACATCTGTTCTTTGCAAATGATAGTATCTTCTTCACTAGAGCGACTGTTCCCGCGAGCTTGATGCTGAAGGGAATACTACGAGATTATGAAAAAGAGTCCGGGCAGCAGGTTAGTTTCCAGAAATCAGATGTATCTTTTAGTAAGAATGTGTCTCACCATCGGCGGCTGGAGATAGGGGGTATTTTGGGTATGAAGGTGGTAGAGAAACATAACAAGTACCTCGGGTTGGGGACAGTGGCGGGGAGATCGAAGAAGGAGCTGTTTGGGGATATTGTTGAAAGAATTAAAAATAAGCTGAAGGGATGGAAGGAAAAAACACTCTCGGTAGCGGCAAGAGAGGTGCTCATTAGATCGGTCGCAGAAGCTCAACTTAACTATGCGATGTCAGTTTTTAAGGTGCCAGAAGGTGTGATTGATGAGGTGCAGAGTTTGATCACAAGGTTTTGGTGGGGTCAGCGAGGGGAAGCGCGTAAGGATCATTGGGTAAACCGAGATAAGCTCGTAATGCCGAAGGAAATGGGTGGGATGGGTTTACGAGAGCTACAAGGGCTCAACATGGCTTTCCTTGCAAAACAACTATGGCGGTTGATGAATAATCCTGAGTCCCTTATAGCTCGTATTTTACAAGCAAAGTACCACAAGCACGATTCCATCCTGGATACAGAACTGGGTTATAGACCAAGTTTTGTCTGGCGCAGTCTTCTTAGTGCACAGGAGTTCCTGAGGGCAGGCTTGAGGTGTCGCATCGGAAATGGAGGACAGGTGAGGGTATGGGGTGATAAATGGGTTCCTTCAAAGGAGGAACACTATGTTGACTCAGCGCCGATGGGGCTCCCCGTGGATGCGAGGGTGTGCGATTTATTGGAGGAGGGCGAGGACAGTTGGGATATGAATATTTTGGAGAGCTGCTTTCCAACTGAAATGGTCCAAGCAATAAGGGCAATCCCTATGCGACCAGGAGAAGCAGACGAATTGATTTGGCAGCACTCAAGCAGTGGGGAATATACGGTAAAGGAAGGATATCGGGTTTGGCTGGAGCAATCAATGGCGCAAAAGGGAGTACATGGGACCAGTGAGGGAGGGTTTTGGAAGAAGTTGTGGGGTATGAAAGTGCCCCCCAAGGTTCGACAATTCTTATGGAAATTCGCTAATGATATTCTGCCTACAGGAGACAGGGTGAGCAAAAAGTCTGACAGGTGGAGCGAGAAATGTCCGTTTTGCGATGACAGGGAAACACAGCTGCATGCTTTCGTGGAGTGTTCATGGGGATCGAGGATATGGCGCAATTCTCAGTGCGCAGATTTGTATATGCTGCATGGCGGGGGAACGATGGTGGAATGGCTGAAGAAGGCTAGGGAGAAAGCAGGAGAGGAAAGGTTTGAAGAGTGGAGTGTGATCCTATGGTTCTTGTGGAAAGAACGGAACGCTCACCTATTTAATGGGTCGAAAACTGCGGAGGATGAAATAGTGCAACGGGCAAAAAATTTCCTTGAAGATTACCGGGAAAATCAAGATCGGAGAATAAGTACCCAAGATGTGATGGTGGACAAGAAGTGGCGGAAGCCTCCGACGGGCAGGGTAATGGTGAATACAGATGCTGGGATTTTGCAGGAAGGAGGCATAGGACTGGGTGTGGTGATGAGGGACGAGAATGGGGCTTTTGTCCTAGCTGCGGCAAAGAGAGTGCAGGGAGAGTTTACGGTGGAGATGGCGGAGGCATTGGCTCTAGAGATAGGCGCACAGTTGGTACAACAATTCCATGTCCAAAATCCAATAATGGCGACAGATTGTTCACAACTTGTGCATCTAATGACGGAGAAATCTTCATCTAGATCGGAGGTCGGGGTGTTATGCAGAAACATAAGGAGATTGGTGGACGAACGACAAGGGAGTTTTTCTCATGTGTACAGGGAGGCGAACGAAGCTGCACATATCATGGCACATGCACGTACGAGATGGGATGAGCGCGTGGTTTGGCTCGACAGGCCGCCAATCTCCATAGTTGACCAGCTTAGATTGGATCATGTAGCTGCTGACTCCGATTGATGAGTTTTTACACAGGTTCATGTCAAAAAAAAAAAAGAGATAGCATTTCACACTGGTGGGTGTTTATACCCGTTTGACGAAGGTCACTGATCAACGACAACGAAACTAGGTATGGTCAATCTATGTGGAACACGAGGAGCTTCAAACTCCACCTTATTTTCGGCCCGTTTCCAATGACATCGCGGTGGTTGACGGCATCGTGAGTCCAGTTACACTGCGATCATTTAATAAATTTGGTTGTAGTCACGAGCAATGATGTCGTCGTAGGTCTAGCCATGTCGTGAGTTCAGTGACACCGCGAGCTCAACGACATCGTAGTGGTCAACAACGTCGCGACTTCAATAGTGTCGTGAGTCCAACAATGTGGAACTATGACAAACGACATCGGGATGAAGATAACACACATGAAGCCATGGTTCGCTGAATATGCTCACCTAACGTTAACTCATTGTAGTCTGAGTGCAGAGCAGCGATGCAAATCATCGAACCCAGACTAACAAGATTAGAGGTGACAATTTGTCATCCAATCTATCAATCTAATCCAATCCATCCACTTAAATATCCACATAATCCAATCCATTTAAATCCAATCCATTTTATCCAAATCCAATTGGATTGGTGAATTTACATATTGATCCATGGATTCAAATGTCAAATTACATTTTAGTACCTATATTTTCATATTTTACATTTTGCTACCTAAATTTTTATTTTTTATACAAAAAGTATCATTGGAAAATTACATTTTGGTACTTAAATTTTTTTATTATGACATTTTAGTACCTATACTTTTCAATGATTTGGATGTCATTTGGATTAATGGATCAATCAACCATCAATCCACTTGAACCAATCCATGAATCCACCAATCCATTTGATTCAATCCACTTGATCCATAGATACACCAATCTATGGATCCAATCCAATTGTCACCTCTAAACAAGATCGAACTTTAACCAGAACACTAATTTAAGCCTGCTAACAAGGAATGTTTGACTTTGCCATCACCGTGTACTTCAGTTTAAATTACGTAGCGATGTCAATGATCAAAGGTAATCTTCTGTTTTGCGAAAATATAAATAATAATAATATACGGGTTGTGGTTTGTGAGGATGGTTCGAGGTTGCCAACCCGCATGTTGATATGTAGGTTGATTCGGAAACGCAATGAAAAAACAAGCACCACACACTCACAGGTTGACCCACAACAAGGTTATCGAGTTAAAAGTTACACAACCTAGTTTTCCCTTTAATTTGTGGATGGCGTTTTTCTTCCTGTGTTTCCTTTTGTCTAATCCTAGCGTTGGAATTCTAAGTCGAACATTGGAATGATGTTTATATGAATGTGTTTGAATTTTCACTATATGTTAGAGTTTTTATGTTATTACTCATACGTTGATGAAATTTGATATAATTTATAAAAGTGTTAACAATTCAATGACTTTTTTCATTTATCAAGACAAAATCAGACTCTTACCCCTCAACCCGCTTAGTTCACCGGGCCAATGGGCCGATTTGATAACCATGGGATGGTTACTTATTCAGCAACTATCCTTTTCGGAAATTACTATCCCCGACTAGGGATGGCAATGGGGCGGGTTTTCCTAAACCATCCTCATACCCATCTTCAAATACCCAAACTCATACCCGCCTCATACCCATGCGGGGGAATGTTTTGCAAACCCATCCCCATACCCGTGGGTTTCGGGTACCCATGGGTAATACCCATACCCGTACATCCAACATTATTATACCTAAAACTTACAAGAAAAGATTTTAATTATAACTCTAAACGAACATATTATATCATGAAGTCAACAAAACACGGCCATTTCTTTAATATAGTTCAAAGAATATGATCCTAAAATATCCATTAATACATAATATAGAGTATAATATTTTTTAAATTATTATGTTCTAACTCTGATACATCTACTAAATAATAATTAACTAACATAATCTTGTTGACAAGGGGGGAAGTGAAAGAGTGAAATGAGAATTGAGAGAAATGAATTAGGTTTTGATTAAGGTGTCCACTCAATTGCATTTCTACTATTTATTTTCTCAAGTTATCCACATCATCATTGATAGATTATAATTTGACGCAAATATTTTTTTATATATGAAGAAATTATCTTGGTGGGGCGGGTATGGGGATGGGTATGGGGCGGGGAGGCTAAAACCATACCCGCCCCATACCCATCAAACTTTTTGCGGATTTTACCCATGTACGCTACACACCCGGTCAAAGCGGAGATTCCCCGCGTTAACTGAGTCGGGGCGGTCGGATACCCGCGACCATGAATTTGATTGCCATCTCTATCCCCGGCTATTCCAGAATCAGCATTTCACTAATTGTGCCCAGAAAATGAGAAAGAGGAAGGTTAACCAACCCAACCTGGCCAGACAATGACAAAACTAGTAGATTAAGGATTTCCAAATATAAAGAGAGAGAAAATGATGCATAGGGCCCCTTCAATGACCCCAAAAGTCAATTAAAAAACACTACACCACCTTTATTTTATTGTTGGCAGCAGCCAACCAGCCCTACAGCGAAGTCAGCACTAAGCATATTACTAACCCACAGCACCGCCTTACACACAAACACAACAACAATATCCTAATCCTATCCCTTATCTTCATCCAGTTGGGACCATATGCCCTTCACCTTCCCTGCCATAGTCCCCATTCACTTCACCCTCCAGCCTCCATAACCATTTTTCTTAAAATACAACCCATTTTCCTAATCCTTTCTTATTAATATTAATACGTACATATATCAACCCTAAATTATGTCTTACTTTTAATTCAAGCCTGCCTGTCACTGCTCAAAAGCTACATCACGATCTAAACTACACAACAAACACACAAAAACAAAACAAGCCAAAAGGAATCTAACAAGGTGGGGGAAGCAGAGAGGGTTGTCAATTTTGTTGAAACAAACAGAACCAAACTAAATTAGGAATTAAACAAAAGAAAACAGCATCATCAACCCAATCCCACTTCCCCCCCTTCCACCTTCAGTCTGTACATTATAATTGAACAAAAGATTTGAGAGTTCTTCTTCTTCTTCTTCACCACCAGTCACAATTAAGATCCATTTTTACCTTAACAGTCATAACCACAGCCAAACATCCCCCCTCAAACTTCTTTCCTTCTCTCTGAATCTCCAACCTTACCTAATTTTATGCTGTTTAGCCCTTAATTAACCAGCAACAACTTGCTCCGGTGTTAGCAGTAAGCCCTTTTACCCCTCCACCATAATCAAGCTACGCTGATGCTGCTGTCCCCGCTCAGGCTAGACATCATCTGGAACCCAGGGCGCCTGGCTGTCGTCGTCTCGTTGGAATGCAGTGACAGATTCAGTGACAATGGCAATGGATCAGCAGCAGCAGCAGCCGGAGACGAGTTTAGATTCAAGTCGACATCAGATATCGTCCTTGAGAGGGATGATTGATGGACAAGGGCAGGAGGGCGGATAAGGTTTGAAGCAGAAATGCATTGATTGTTGCCTTGTCCTCCTCCTAATGATAAGTTATCCACCACAGGGATCTGGGTGGTATTCAGTACGGCTGCTGAATTGGTGGTGGATATGGTGAAATTTGACATCACTGGGAAGTTGCTGCTATGGCTGGTGGTGGTGGTCCTCTTCTTCTTATTCTCTTGCTGTTGCTCTTCTCCTCCCATGGAAATCCCAGCGACCTAATTAAATTCCCCACATGACCAAGAAACAAAAAGGAAAGATGGGTCAGTCTCTAGATAGATAGTCTACAACTACGAGACAAGGGAAAGAAAGATCTTTCTTTTCTAGCTGTATAAGCATCAAACATCAACATCTTATCGCCAAGCACACCAACAAGAAGCATTAATTCTGCACGTCTATCTAATGGGGGATGGTGGGTTTTCTTCCATTCAATTTTTGTCAGCAAACGCAGATGGAATAGAGATATGGATCTAATTTTACACGTCTACTTTTATGGCAATCAGCATCACTGCAAAATCAAAGCCTAAGAACTTTGGCCCTGAACCACACCAGTCGCCTTCGTCGACATTATTCTGATAACTAAATTCTTCTTTCGATTCTATTCCTCATTAGTGTTGTCGTCTCGTCTCCCAAAGAGTAAAGCCTACTACAGTTCACCGGATCGGACATAAAACAAAAGAAAAGTAATGGCTGAATAAGGTTCGATGATATAGTATGTATGGTTTACCGTATCAGTAGTGATGTCAAAGAGGCTAGATCTGCGGCGGCGGCGATTGATGTTGAGTCGCCGGAGGAAGTACTTCTGAGCGTGACTGGCGACCTGAGTAGGAGTCCTTGTCTTGACGAAATTGCGAGAGATTCCTCTCCAATCTCCCTTCCCTACCTTCTGCAATCCAATCAGGAACAGCTTGTGCTCCTCCTCTGTCCACGGCACCCCTACGAAAAAAATCAAAAATCAAAATCGAATTTCTATCAGCAAACAATACTCCGAACCAGAAAACCTCATCTCAACACTCTTTCAATCCATTGATTCACCAGAGAATTCGAAATTTCGAAACTCGAAGAAATTGAATCAGCTCGCTCGATTCGAACAGAGAGAAAAACTTTCGGGAGGAAGAAGGAACATAATACCTCGCTTGCGCTCGGAGCGAGAAACAGAAGAGGAGTGATGAACGGCGTCGTCGGCGGAGCCGTAACCAGCAGCGACGACGGCGTCTTCCTTGACATCGTTGTGAGTATCCTTCTCCCCTTCCTTGTTGTCGACTCCGACGCCGCCGTCATTCGCCTGAACAAGAGCAGAAGGCTGCTCGTACTGCGAGAGATTGTTGAGACTGACGCTCTTCCTCATCGAATCAACCACCACTCTGACTCCGAACAGCATGATCTCCCCCGCCGTACCAGCCATATCTCGCGAAGGAAAGCAGAGTCGCCGGCGGATTTTGGACGAGTAGAAACGAAATCGAGGTCCACCGTACAGGTGTAAATATAAAGAAGGGGGAAAAAAAATCCAAGAAGAAGAAGAAGAGAATTGGAGGAAGGCAAGTGAGGCGATTGGGAGAGGAAAAGGAACGGTTGAGAAAGAAAAGCAGAAGAAAACAGAGTCCGTCCGGTGAGAGGAGACGTTTTTTATTTTCCTCTTATATATATAGAGAGAGAGTGGGAGCGCGTGGAGGAGTGCTCTTACCACGTGGTGTGCATTGTGGTGCGTGTTTCCACTCGCTACGTGGCGCGCCTCGCTTTGCTTGTTTCCGTCACCCTGCCTGTCACTTTATCATTATCTCTCTCATTTCTTGATTGGCTAACCCCACTTAAGGTTGTTTTTTTTTCCCCACTTCTTCTTATTCTTCTGGAGAACAGAAATTAATTAATTTCATCCTGTAATTACGCTCGAAAAAAAGCATAATGTATATTAAATAAATAAATTAAACAATTAGTTCACAATCGAGGACAATCGAAGCAGCGAATCTAAATTCCGATCTCCGTAAATAAATCGTATAATAATATAGGAGTACATAATAATTATGTAAAACTAATGATAATTAAGGGATTTAAAGGCTGTCTTGTTAGCTTATCCGTGATCACAAACTTGAGAGATAATTATCCCAAGACAACTGGCAATTAGTAGGGTAAATCTGTTCCCTTTATATGTTTTTTCGGCATTGTGAGCTGGCTGGCTGGCAACCATTTTTTCGTTATCCTTTTTCTTTTTTCCTTTTTGGATGAAGCAAATAAATGAGCATTTTGGTACTAAAAAAAAGATTGAAAATAAATGAGCATTTGTGCTTTTGATTATCCGTAATTTTATCTTTCTGTATTAAATTGAAAAATGGTCCAATACTAATAATTGTGGTAGAAGAAACATATAAGTATGAGGCACCAACACATGATACCAATTAAACGAGATCAAGATATTCAAGAATGCCATTTTTTATTCAGACTGAAAAATCGAATTATTACAATAGAAAGAATGATTATCTATGGTGGCTTGATGTCCTTTATTGCCTAAGAAATGGTTGTATTGTTCCTTCCGTGATAAAACATGAACAATGTTTAAGCGTTCATGATATTAGGGATCAAAATCGAAAATAGGCTGAAGGGTCTATGTATATGCGATGAATATCTATCGGTCGTTTAGATTACCTAATATGAAGCATTTTGTGGCACAATGTCTCAAGATGATACATTTTTCCTAATTATAACAATTGGGAGAGGGGGAAGGGAACCAAAGCAATTTGACTCTTGAAATCAAAACATAAATTTGCATAAATCATGAATCATGAAGTATTTTATGTTGATTCCCTTATTCCATTAGTGTTCCATTACCCGTTTTCATAGTGATTATGCAAAAAAAATTATGGATAAGGACCTCACTAATACTAATTTAGCTGGTTAGCTTAGTGTTTGGTTGCAATGACGAAATTGTCCTACTCTCTCATGCTCATTGGGACTCATTGTCATTGTACACTCGCCCTTTATGTTCGAATATAATTGATTCCATTCTAATCTCCTTTGCCTCTCTTTGTTGTTGATGACTTGATGATTCGCTCCTCGATCGAGTTGCTCACCGTAAGATTGTGACATGTTCTGTGATGGGGAGAATTATAATCACAAGTCGATACAAAACCAATCATGTTATATGTTTTAGAAGAGTTTAGATAGCAATTTCAACCAAGCATAAGAGGAAATGACATTTGATGAAAAGGGTGATCAATAAGTAATTTTGTGGTGTGAGAAATGGATGGGTTTTTCATTTTTCTATTGGGGGGCCCCAATATGGTGTTCTATAGTGCTTCTCTTTTCTTGCACTTAGCATTTATGTAACAAAGTAAGAAGAAGATAATGAAGAAGTTTGTTTAGCTTTAACCACTGAGAAAATATTTGTTCACAATCCTCCTTTCCCTAATCTTATTTATAACTTGTGGATTATGATAATAATAATATTGAGGACAAAATTACTTCCCTTTTTAAAGAAGAACCTACTAATAAAATGAACGGCGAACAAAATAAATGTTAATCAACCATTATAAAGATATGCTAATGTTGATCAAATCTCAACAACCAATTAAATAAAAGACTTGCATTTAAATCCAATAGTATATATTAACATAATAGAGCGAGAAAATGTCATTTGTATAACAAGTAATGTTGTCAAAATGAAATGAAATCAATAATGTAGATATTTGCACAATTCATGCTGATTGTCATCGCAATGAACTAGTTTGACTCTAATGTAACTTTGGAGAGAACATCTTTCGATTTGAGGTTTTAGTAAAGTATGTTTCAAACAAGTAATTGGGTGTTTAACTATTAAACTATCATAAGTCCTTTTAATAATATTTAATTACCATAAAAAAAGGTAACTGGGGTGACTTTTGGTTATATGGGCCTTACATTTTTACTTAGCAGGGAATAATATAGGTTGTGGGCAAAACATCCGCACATGGTGAGGTGAAGTGCTGTGACTGGGAGAGAGAGAGAGAGGAAAGGATTTATTATTATTTATTTTTAATTAAATCCTAAGGTTTCCTTTGATTTATCTCCAATCCTCTGTGTGAAGTTTGAAGTCAGATGAATCAGGTCAACCTGATTTCTTGTCCCATCAACTTGGAATTATAAATATATTTTTCAGGTACCCCCCATTTGGCGTTAACAATAATAATATAATAATAAAACCCACTAATTAATTAATTAATTTAAACCCCAAAAGTGATCTTTACTCATAATGGCTCATTAAGTTATTGCCTTATCTTTGTACCTAATCAAAAACTCATAAAATAATGTCAAGTCTCTTCTCATTAGTGTGAGTAAGTAAGTGATTAAGGACAGCTAAGCTTCCTCTTTTTTCCCCCCAAACACATTCACTGGAGTTTTTTTTAATTAAAAAATAAGATGCCAAGTGCCAACCCAATTAAACCCCCTTCTTGTCGGCAATACTTTTGATTTTTTTTTTTACAGTTTTAACTTTTAACTTTGTGGCTTGTGGTCAACTTTTTTTTTTTTTTTTGATAAGCAACCTGTATTCTCAAAAATCAAATGTTGGGTGTTACAGGGCAATCAGCTAAAAGAACTTTTATTGATTCTAATACCATCATCAATTCCAAATTACACATAGGATGGTTGGCCTTAATCCCCGTGAAGTTAGTGGCGCTTAAGGGTTTGTTAAACTATTTCTATGAACAAGGAAGATTTGTTGAGTGGTTTCGATGATACTTATTTTATAGAGATATCTTGACAGAAAATTTATGATTTCACAATTGCACGCTACGTCACAGAAGATTTGGTAAGCATTTGTTTGTGTGTTTGGATTACTTGTCAATTTTTTTTAGTTTTTCTCGGCATTCGTCTATGTAAAACAAATAAAATCATTACGCTCATTTGTACTAAAATCTAAAGTGTGATTTACTGTTATTCTCCATCCACTTAGCGGTAAAACTTTATTTCTGCACGCTTTTGTGATGTAAATGTTCTTGAGTCCTTACTGGCTTGCAAATATTTGAGAGATCCTCTATCCTATTACGATCATGTTGCATAACTCGAGATGTCAATTAAGACGGGCTTAATTCTTGACGACATCACACACAACTTGAAACTCCACGACACACATATTATGCCAATTGTTGAGTTTCGATGTGCCAGGTGTGATAGAAGTTGCCGAAGTCGCTTGCACCTTGCAACTTGTAACTCCGGAAGGATGCATCTACCTTATATATACATTAAACCCAACCAAACCAGGCAAAAGCTTCAGGTTTCCCGTCCTTTGATGGCTAAATTCACTCCATCTCCATCAAAAGATAAACAAAGCTACATCATGGACACATTTCAAAATCATACAAATGATAAGTTTCTAAGGGTTCGTTTGCTTGAGGGTTTTTGTGATGGATTTGGTCAAGGAAATATATCCATCATGGACTTGAACCGAAATCCATCGTTTGTCTTAGGGAATTAGGGAGATGGAATTTGTGGGCCCCACCTCTTTTGGGGTTCCAAATTCGTGGACCCCACGGACTTGGAAGTTCCAACTCTTGAGGTGGGATTTGGGTGATGGATTAAAATCCATGATGGTAAATTACCTTCTACCCTTAATTATTTTTTTTAATTACAAATTTGTCCTACTTTAATTCAATGGTCATGCAACTGTAAACTTTTATAATTTCGTATTTTATAAATATGAGAATTTATCATTTCATTTTGTAATATCGTATTTTATTTAAATATGAATGTATATGTGATTTGTTAGATTCACCTAGAAACACTTTATGCTCATCTTGTACATTATTATTTGATTGATTGTCGGATTCCACATCGGTGAGTTAGCAAGAAGATGATGAGTTGTAGCAATAAAGCGAGCAATTGGCTGCAATTGATACATAATATTGCGTACATTATTAGATGAATTGTTAATTAGCGCCAAATTGTAATACATTTCTATTGAATTATTAATCCACATAGTGGTAAAGCGTTTAAAATTTCTTTCTATGTTTTAGATTAGTTTTAAATGAAAGATTTGGATTAGAATATAGAAATATAATTAAATAAGGGTAACTAGGTAATTTGTATTTAATATCCACAAATCTAATCAAACAAAGTCCATAATCAAATCCATCAAGCAAACAATAGACTTGTTCAAATCCATAATGCCACCAAATCCATCATATATCCATGGTTTTCCAAAACCCAAATTTTATCAAAACCCTCATTTTTCAAATCCATGAAGCAAACGACCCATAAATGACTGTCATCTAATATATGGAAAGAGACTAATACTTAATAGTCTAAAACAATTTATTTTGTTGGACCATTCTCCATTAGCACTAGGGTTGTGTAGGGCAATATGACCATTATTCTGAAGGCCTATACAAGGAGAAGATATGTTAGTTTACTTGTGATGGAGGTTTTTTTTTTGTTTGGATAAATTTTAAATATTGTTTTTTCTCTCCATTGATTTATTGGTTTGATGAGGATGGCCTTGGCCTCCAATAGTGGGGAGGAGGAGTCTTGTCTGTGGGAGGATAACCTAAGATAAGGTTCTGTGGGGTTCCACTTCCCACCATCTCTTCTTGCTCCTCCAAATTGCAATACGGCTCAATATATAAAATCCCTTATT